GAACAATGGTCAACAATTAGCAATAACATTAAATATTTCAGTTGTGAAAATTAGAACGACACAAGTAAACGAACAATATTGTTTCCAGTTAGATAATAATCAATTTTTACTCCAATATACATGAATATTTATATGGGTCTATGAAAGAGTTAAACCGATTAAGACAAATTATGAGTGAATTAATACAATAATTAGACGATATCACAGGTAAAATGTACAAATTGATGGTAAAAACATAGGTTTACTAGTAGTGATATGAATAACGAAATAACAGAAGCTCTAGTCAGTTGGTCAACACAGGGATTAGGTCGAACTTGATTAAATAGGATTTAAAATAATTGTCATAAACATCATTAAAATTAAGTGATGAGAAGTGTGTAAGTAATTAGATAATGAAGAATGAGCAGTGGGAAGATGTGAAAAGCAACAAATAAATACAATGTATAAAAAAATTTATAAAATCATTTATTGAGTTTTATTCAGCGAAGAAAGGGACAGGGTTGTCATGGGTTACTTCCGAACACATTAACCAGAGTTATATGTTCAGATCCCTATAACCTACGCTATTTGTAGGAAACGCGACCGAAACCCACTGTGAAATGATAAGGGTATATGATCAATCACTCAAAATGTTTCGGTTTTATCTGTTCTATGGTCACTGCCAACCAGGTTACCAAGATGGCCGAATGTATTGTTTCAGCCTTGCCATTTCTAACCAAGCAGTAAGATGCTCATTCATTCGTTAATTCAGTTGCCTGATAGTAAACCCAATATAGTTATCTCTGCAGGCGCAACTAGATTTGTAGATGCACATGGCAGAAGTGAACACATGTGACTTATTCCCTCTCTGAGTAGATATCAGTGATCTGTTAGAACATTTCAATGTAAGATCAGCTACATAAAATGTCCTATTGACTGGCATTTATTCTATCGTACAGGACATCTCTGGTCACATTTCCGTCGTGGTGTAGTCATAGGAATAGGAGTTCCTTACGAGCGGTCAATATCTCCAACTTATTTTTCAACACATTCGTGTACTTCTTTGAAAGGTTTTTGGGGAAACCTATTCCCGCCTGTATATTATTAAAAAACTCCAACTACTTCTTTATGAAGTTCTGTGAACAGATATTTTTTAGCTCTGCTTGTAAGACATCTGACCAGATTTATTTTGTAACAGGTGGTTGTGAAACTATAGAAGTGTATGTGGTGATAAACGAGATACTCATATACACCATTCCGCTTACTGAGCCTTTATCTTGTCAACTTAATAATTCCTGATTTTCCTGAAATTTTACTAGTTTTGTCTTTATCAATAACACGAACGTGAAACTACAATATTCTGATAATGGAAAATAGGAGTTGACAGAGTAATGTTTTGAAACCTTTACCCGAGACAAGCCATTTCAGATATTAGCGAAAGAAATTCAGGTATGTGCCAAAATCGTATTCCATCCCTTATTTTACAACATTCTACAACTTAAGCTGATTCCAACCTATGATGAAAACGCCAGTTCCTTTTGCTAATCATAGGTGTGTCTAAATTCACATTGAACACGTAAAGAAACCGACTACAACATTGAGTGTTTGCTGTCTTAGTCCTGACTCATAACGATTTAGCGGTAATGCTAAGTTACAACATTAAAATTATGGCTTGCTGGCGTACTTTTGCAGCCAGTTAGTTCGGAACCCTATGGATATTAATAACTTGACCAAGTTATGTCCGTCACCATACACCCAACCTTAGTGCAGTTCGAACTTAAAAACTGAGTTCATGTTGAAATTGCCCGTATAAAAGGCGGCTTAGATATCTTAGAAAAAGGACAGAGAACAGTTACCTGTGCAATTACATAATTCCGTTTGTAACGGCAAATAAATCCCCAAAATAAATAGTTCTTTAGGTCCTCTATATTGGTGCTGACCTCATTGGTTTTACTAGACATATCGAGCTTACGGCGCCCGATCACGTATTCGCACCATACAACAAGTGGGTAGACCGTGTTACACATCCCTTGCGACTGTTAGCTAGCCAAGAATAAACGCTTCCCAGTAGCCTTTCAAATCTATCTTTGAACCACACTCCGACCCTGTGTGAAAAAGTAATGGTACAGAAGAGGTTCTGGACAGTTTTAATAGCATTCGACCAGCTATTAATTTCATGGAAGAGGAGGAAAATTATAGCAGTATAACTTACATTGAATTTCAACGACACATACAAACTGTTTATTTGAAACAATTTTAAAGAGACATGGACAGTGAAATTTCGATAGATCAGCTTAAAAGATATATTAAAAGGACATTTAACGCCGCCGAATTAAATGCGATTTTCTCAGATAAGTCAATACTTACACAATGAATCAAGGGTAGATTACCGATGGTGGGATACTCCGTGTCTACACAAATTTAACTGCTCCTGTGAGGCTAGTAGACATATCTTCAGAACCTAACTAAGCTTACCAACAGACGTTCGCTAAGTCACAGTGCCCCAACTACTGACGAAGCCGATGGGATAGAGTTTATGGAAAGACGAAATTTGAAGAAGCTCACATAAACACCTAAGTCTCTCAAAACCAATGACCTGAACAAAAATACGTTAAGGATCGTAAAAGTCAAGTTGGATATTGAATCAGTGTGTTAAATTAATATTTATTCCCTCAGTAGGTACTTTAATCATAAGACATTGGAAGTTATCACTACTGTTTAACATGTAACATGAGGGGCCACCGGAGCTCCAGCTTCTACTATAAATTTACAAACTTCACCACTCAACTGAGGTAAATAAGGACTGTAATCTTTACAAAAATAAGGAAACAAATAACTAGCTTCCATCTACAGTACTTTTGTCCTAAAAGCATATTTTTGACTGACTATAAGTTGCTTAATTTGTTTAGCCTGTGTAGTGTTTTATAGCAATATTGTTTTATACGGGATAGGGTTGCCGACTTTACACCCAACCCTCTTTCTTCGCCCATGCTCGGGACCGGCAGTACCTCTAGAAGAGCTACAAGCGGAATACAATGGACAACTCGGAAAAGTTAAAAGATTTTGACTTCACAAATGACCTGGCTCTTCTATTCCATACACATTAACGAACGAAGATGAAGATGAATTGTAGTAGCAGCCTCTGCATCAACAGGCCTCAACATACTTGAGGGAAAATCAAGATCTTCAAATACAATAACGAAAGCACTAACTCAATCATACTTCATAGAGAAACTATGGAAGAGGTGGGAAGTTTCACTTATCTGGATAGCATCATCGATAAACGAGGAGGATCTGATGCAGACGTAAAGGCAAGGATTAGAAAAGTAAGGGTAGCATTTGTACAACTGGAGAACATATGGGACTCAAAACAACTGTCTGCAAGACAATAGCAATATCATACTCTTCAATACGAATGTCAAGACAGTTCTACTGTACAGAACTGAAACTTTCAGAACTATGACAACCATCGTGAAAGAAGTACAAGTATTTATTTACAATTGCCTACGTAAAATACTGAATGTCCATCGACCGGATAGCATCAGTAATAACCCACTGTGTGAGAGAACAAACCAGCTTCGAGAAGAGACAATTAGGAAAAGACGTTGGAAGTGGATAAGACATACATTACGGATATAATCAAAATCCGTCACAAGACAAGTGATAACTCGGAGTCCTGAAGGGAAATGTAAAAGAGGAAGGTCGAAGATCACACTGCGTTGGGAATCGGAAGTCGACATGAAAAAGATGAACAACAAGTGGAAAGAACTGGAAAGGATAGCCCAAGACAGTGTTGGATGAAGAACTTTGATGACCGGTCTATGCTGCTCCATGAGGGGTGACAGGCGTAAGTCATAGTTACTTGCCTTTGTCAACCACAGATGCACTGAAAAATACAGTGACCAAAAAGATGCTGTGGTTGGTTTAGATATGGTTTATTCCACTATCTTGAGGAGTCTCATTGGTGGAGATACTCCTTTTAACATTGCAATCGTTTCTAAGCATTGTTCGCATCACTTATTAAAGCTTACTCCTGACATCGACGTTGGAGATAATACATCCAAACGGGAAGTTTGATAAGGTTGTTTTTTGAACAAAAGTGTGTTAATCAGGCAGAATCAGACTACACTGGTCACAAAATCATTCAACTGCTGTACCCAAAAGACAAACGAGAGATCAAACGATCATCAGTGATAGGAATGATGTATTTCGTCGTAGAAAGAGTTAGACAAAAGCTAGTTCGCTATAGTGGCTATCTAAAGGGCTTTAGGAAAGTCACATCAACTAAACTAACTGAATCAATCCAGCTGATTATATGTGTTAAGACTAACTGGGTCATTATGGTCACTGTTATTTTAATATGTAGCATATATTTACCACGAAATGTAACTCCTCAAGAATGGTTCGGTTTTGGAATTACCCCGAGTCTTTTAGGGAAAAACGCGATACAATTTAGGGACTCAATATGATACAAACCACTGTAACTCATTCGAGATCTTATTCTACTAACTTCTGGTTTAGACTGTTAAACTGTCCAAATCTTACGCCTGTGATATTTTCAATATGTATTGGCTGTTTTCATTATTAAATATAAGTAACTCTATGGGGTCACTGAGTCAGTTCATTTTTTACTTTCCCGTTTTTTGTCCAGTTTTCCTCACACACTATCCCAAAACACAATGTACCTTCAAACCTGACATGAAATACTACTTGTTCGCACTTCATCTGAAGATCTACTTTGAGGGTGATTTCGGTCATATATAATCAAGTTGTGAATCATTATACGAAAGTGTTTTTTAAAATTTGACTTGTTTTCTTATATCTTATTCTCTACTTAGAAAAATTGGCAATCCACTTCTAACCGACAAGAAATTCAGCAGATCAAATGATTCTCCCATTCCTTTCATAAACATTTGAAACTGAGAATGAAAATTGAAACATTGTTAGTTTATTTTCTGTTGCAGTTCTTTTGAGTTAAATTATCCGGCGGCTAGTCAAGTGGTCTGTTTAGAAGGTTTCAGATGGAGGACAGTTCTCCGGCTCTTAATGTAGTACGTTTAGTTTGGTTGTCATTCAGTTTATGCTAGAATATAACTTCATCGGTTGAGGAGGAGCTTGAAAGCAAAATCAAGGCAAAATATCCAGGTCTCAACAAACAAGGTGTTGGCTCCCTGTTATTGCAAAAGCGATTGAATCGTGGGGTAAGCAACTTGTTTATTTTGTTATTTTTTAACAGTTTACTATGTAAGTAGCTGTTTAGGATATTGGAAACTCCTCAAAATTAGTATGTGGGACCAGTCATATACTATAGATGTCATGTTTGGATTGTTTCATATCAACAACTTATACAGTGGATAATTATCAGGACTTAGAACCAACATTTTGTCTCCTCCCTTTAGTATCTGGTCTTTGTAAGGCACCATGTTTGCTAACTGATAATTGATGAGTTAGTCCAAACAATGAATTGACTAGAGGTAAGTTTCTCGCTACTCCAAATAGTTTATTTCTCTAGACTTAGTTTTCCATGAGCGTCTATCTAACACTCAGTTGCATCCTATCCATACCTAAAATAACAAACCATCCCACCAGATCTCTTTAAGTACCTTATTCTTGCTAAGCATGGGAATTTTAGTACCAAGATATCAGAGAGACTAAAATGTATTGACGAACCATGAGATTTAAGATATGTCTTGGGTTTTAGCATGAAATTCATCCACTCATTTGGCTAAATACTATTTTGACATTATAGCTGATGTCAGTTCGTAATGAAAACCTTAAATCTAGTTCCTAACCATCATTAGTGCGACACCAACGCCAGCAAGACCAGACGAAGATGCCACAGGGTCCCCGGATAAGCGCACATAAACAAGCTTTTCTAAGCGACAGATGGAGAGCGAATTTGTAGTACTACACCAGAGTCTTGAATACGGGTCTCGGATAGACAGCAAACATCGATATTAAGACTTTCTAAAGACATAGCCAGCCCTATCTGTTGTCCGATCTGCATAAGTGTGCGAACGTTGAAGGCAGCCAGTTTCAATGGAGTATTTGGTTTCAGAAAGACTTTCAGTATTCGTATTCGGTGGAGACATTCAACTTTCGACCAGGCAGACTTGAGATCGTTTAGACAGAGTCGAATTTCCACCATAGGCGAGCAACTGTATAAGTTATAAAATAAGGATACACAAAATGAGAATAGTAGTAGATAAGTGACGTCGTACATAAAAAATAGAAATGAATGTTATCACATGGATGTGAGTTGTCTGAATTTTAAATAGAGCAAGAATAGTATTCTCAGTAATTATTGTCATCTTATCAAATTTGTGTGTGGGCTGTGATACTGCCCGGGTGCCTTGACCGAAGCAGGTGGTTATCTTGACGGGCCACACCCCGAGCCTTTGACCTAAAGGTCTAACCCACAAGGCAATGGAGCATCGTTAGGAGATGCACCCCATGGTAGCCAGTGACCGAAAATTGGTTCATGCGCCATTTGTTCCCACAGGATACTGGAGCCCATTTGCAGCTTGACGCAATAGGCAGACCGCCTTAATCTTGAGGCTGGTATGCGTGTATTCGAAGTTAGTCTAACTTGTTGGGGTAGAGAGACGAAAACTATTCTATGGCCTGACTGGCTGCTAAGCACACGACTGAGAAAAGAAGTCAACTGGAAAACCACTTGATTTATTCCCAATTCCAATCTCGTTACAGATTTCAGATCAGTGTAAAAAGATGCATGAATATATAGATGACTAACCAGATTACAACGCACAACATTTAGAAAAATACAATTATGTCCAAAACTAGAGATTAGCGTAGAAAAATAGAGTACAAAATTACAATAGCTTTGCATTAAAAAGGGCTATGACAGTGAATCATACATCAAATGAAAGCTTATGATCTGTATAATAGACAAAAATAAATGTTACTGTTCTTTCAAACTTTAAATTAAAGTTAAATAACGTCCCCGAAAAATAGCTTCCGTAGTTCGTCAAGGCTTCTTGTTTCTCTGTTCATATCAGGTGGCTACCCAACATATGCAGGTAACTTGGTGTAGGCGTTTAGCTCTACTCACCAATGGGTTTCAGTTTAAAGCTCTCCATGTGTCTTATTTCTTCCAGTCCCAAAGTTCAACACACGAGCCTATACTTAGTTGTTGCGTTCCATCAAATAACTTAAAAGTAATTCATTTGTGACATTTTGCTTCTGTGAAATTTTATGAACCGTTCCCCTGGGGTCTGTTTGCAGCATCTGTTTTTTCCAGTAGTATCGGTAATGAATAATGATATAAATATCATTGTTTTATTAATGCAATGACGTTATAACTAGTTTGCGTTTTTGTTTTTGTTTAAATAATATTTTATACAGCATAAATACTTTGATTCTGGAGACTATAATATGGCAAGAGCAAAGATTTTGCAACAGCAAAAGCATGTACTCCCTCCTCAAACAGAAGAAGCTATTCTTCATGAATCGACGGGGGAAACTATGGCTACTCCTGACAGTGTACCTGCAGTTCGTAAAAAATCCATTCTATCTCCAAATGGTGTAGAGTCTGTGGTTAATCCTGTCGCTGTTTCCGCTGCATCGAAGGCTTCATTATCGCATCCAACCGACAGTTTAAGTCTCTTGTCAACATAATTACAGTTCAGTGAAAAATGAACAAAAAGAGACACATCAATTCTGTACGGAAAAACAACAGAATCTGTCATATACGCATATAATCACATGAATAGGAGATTGACATAATAATAGTGATAAGATCTAAACTGGTCTAGAGAAAAAAACAAGGAAAAGCACAGAATACACAGTTATCAATAGTTTTTTTTGATTTTAGGGATTTGTGCTGCTAACCAGATACAAATGCATTGGGTAATTCTTTGTGCAAATAAATAAAACATAGATAGTGGTTTACAATTAAGAGAAGGCAGAGATAGAGTAGATAGGTCTTTACAAATTCATAAAGTTAATTGAGTAACGGAAAAGAAGAGGACATGAGAAGAAGAATAGACAAGGACGAAAGTAAACGACGACCCACTATTCTCAAACAACCACCTGTTCAAAAAGAACAGTCTTTTACTTTATGACATATGTGTTACCTTTGTGTACTGTCATGTTCAAAAAGATCAGTCCTTTATTTCATGACAGTACACAAAGGTAACACATATGTCATAAAGTAAAAGACTGTTCTTTTTGAACAGGTGGTTGTTTGAGAATAGTGGGTCGTCGTTTACTTTCGTCCTTGTCTATTCTTCTTCTCATGTCCTCTTCTTTTCCGTTACTCAATTAACTTTATGAATTTGTAAAGACCTATCTACTCTATCTCTGCCTTCTCTTAATTGTAAACCACTATCTATGTTTTATTTATTTGCACAAAGAATTACCCAATGCATTTGTATCTGGTTAGCAGCACAAATCCCTAAAATCAAAAAAAACTATTGATAACTGTGTATTCTGTGCTTTTCCTTGTTTTTTTCTCTAGACCAGTTTAGATCTTATCACTATTATTATGTCAATCTCCTATTCATGTGATTATATGCGTATATGACAGATTCTGTTGTTTTTCCGTACAGAATTGATGTGTCTCTTTTTGTAACTTTAAATATGTAGGCGTTAGTACGTTCACTTGTTCGCTTATGACTGATATGTGACCTGGCTGATATCTTTTCACAATGAATATATATTTGTAATAATTTACTGCAATCTCAGCTTTGTCAACTCATGTTTTCAATCACTTTTTTATGCGCATGTTTTGCGTAAAGCAGTTCACTGATGAATCTAAGTGTACTCGTTTCCACCTTTTCTACTGTGCAACATATTTAGGCTTTTCTATGACTCTAAGTATACAGATACAGTAGCATATGTGATATATTAGGTAACCATCTAATGAGTAACGGCAAGGTTAGGTGATGACGTGATTAAATTTGGTTAAGTTTTGAACTATTATTGGCTGGATCAGATCGGACTCAAGTTATTCAAACCAACTCGTCCCTCATTGTTCCTCATCGGCTGGACTAAAAATAATATCATGTAAGCCTTGTGATGGCTACATCGGATTATACCGGTGGTCCGTGAAATAGTTGTTTTTTTAATCTGAATCGTATGAGTTAGTGTTGACAGTTCCTAACATAGTAGGAACTGCCAGCCAAAAAACTTTGACGATATGGTTTTCGGTCGATGATATTGCCTGGGATATCTTTTCCTACTCTAACAGCAATTATGCTTTTATTACTTCAAAGGTTTCTCTACCCTTAATCATTCTTATTACTTCTATGAAATTACGCGTGCGAATCCCCAGTTGTAATTTTAAGTTCAAATGAACAGAGTCAGCTACAACGTAGGACCAGGCACATATATGCATCGGTCGAAGTTGCCACACCTCATCAACAAAACAAGATAAAGTAGTTTCTTCAATGGTAGTAGTATATAAAAAAAAGATTGTGTATAAATATACATAATATAGGAAGAAAGAATTAGTTGGTAGAATAAAAGATACGAAGCGATATTAATCTCAGTTTAAGGGAAGATAAAGGGTGTACCACTAAGCGGTTGTGAGCCATGTCACTCAGAGTCTCCAACCATTGGCTATGAGTCACGCGGACCCCAACCAAGTAGTCTGCATCTACCAACACGGCTCAGACTAGAAGTTGGTGACTTTGTGGACTAGTGTCACGTTTTGGTTTGGCCTCCCCTAACTTCCGACCATTCCCAACACTAGTCAGCATTGCACGTCGTGGTAATCGGTGTTCAGGCATACGTAACACGCGGCCCAACCATCTCAGTCGATGACGATTCACAACCTCGTCAACTGGTTTACCATTCCCTAATACTCTGCGCCTAACCTCACTATTACTTACCCCGTGATCCCGGCAGATGGCAATATTTCTGTGACATTTGTGATCAGGTAATAGTAACTTGCGAGTATCGTCTACCCTTAATAACCACGTTTCGTAGCCGTAAAGTAGAACAGAACGGACTGCCGCGCCGTATACTCGTCTTTTTATTGATAGATGGATATCTCGTCTTTACTATGGGTGACGTAAGTCGGCAAAAGCCAAGCGAGCTTTTTGAATCTGTGCTGAGATTTCGTCAGACACCAAACCATTAGGGCTGATCAGACTCCTAAGATATGTGGAGTTGTCTACACGTTCGACTACTTCACTCCCTATCCCTAGTTCAGGTGTTGACGCAGACCAGTCCTGAAGCAATAACTTACATTTAGAGTAGGAGAAGCGCATTCCAAACATTCTGGCATTGTTGCTCAGTGCTACCAAAAGACTCTGTATTTTATCAGCGTCTTCACCAAACAGGACTATATCATCTGCGTATTCTAAGCCAATAAGTGGACCTCCATGATGAAATTAAATAGAAATGGAGATAGTAGATAGCCTTGCCGTCACATGATGGAAGGTAATTTCTGAATGATTAAGACTATGTTTGGGAAAGCTAACCATCCTGTATTCGAGTTAAAGTGACTATTTCAGTGGTTAAGTTAGTTTTTCCAAGTATAATTTTAGTGTAGCTACATCAAATAGTCTTTTCAACTTCGAAAATTACTTGAGTTACGGGCTAGTATACAGCAAAACATAGTTGAAATCTAGAAAACAGTTTTACCTATGGTTTAAGACTCTTCACTTCTGCATAACCCTAAATACTTATCATCATAGATCGTCGAGAATAGTTCCTGGTTGTTTAGCTATTCAATTCTAGATCGAAGATATCAATTAATCACAACCGGCGTATAAAGCCTGGGACAAATATGTATCACCCCCATTTTCCCATCTCAACACCCTAGCATGAAATTAGCAAGATGAGTAACAAAGAAGCCAAAATATCAGTAATATCAGCATTTGTAAGAAACAAAGTAATTCAGAAAGTATTTATGAAATAACATTAAAACCTGAGATATGGGATGAATTGGTCCGTGCAGGTGACTGATTCTAATCCATGTCACCCAACACCAACTACTGATCTCATAGGCCTCAACCAGTTAGTTTACACTTATCAGCATAATTCAGTTTTTATCCCGTATATTATCTATTGATTCCAGTATTTGTGAACTTTTCAATTAACATCCGTCATTTACTGTACACATTCTTCAAGAAATAACCTTATCACAGACCAACAAAAACTAAGATGTTTGAGTAATACTGTGACGCATTAGTCACTAAAAGTTATGTAATACTAAAAAGCCAGTTTAGTAAGTAAATAATTCTTAAGTGCAAGAGTAAGGAGTTATGAAGAAACCGGTTAAGGAAACAAGTAGCGAAGTTGCTCCCTAATTGTTTCTATCTTATGAAAAAAAGTTCTGAATATAAATAGGAAAGCCGAGTTCCTGTTTGGCGCAGTCAAAATAAATTTATATTCAGAACTTTTTTCATAAAATAGAAACAATTAGGGAGCATCATGAGGCAAGCCCTAACTTGGAATTCTGAAGGGAAGCGAAAAAGAAGAAGGCCAAAGAACGCATTACGTCGGAAAATAGAAGCAGATATGAAAAAGATGAATAACAACTGGAAGGAGCGAGAGAGGGTTGCCCAGGACAGGGTTGGATGGAGAATGCTGGTGAGCGGCTTATGCTCTTCCACGAGGAGTAACAGGCGTAAGTAAGCGCCAAATAGGATTACTGACTCGAAACTTCATGTCCAAAAGATAAGTCGGTGCTCTATTGTCTAATGACTTGGATTGGAGATGGTAAATAGGTTTCCAAAATCCCTTCATCTTATTCAATGGATTGTTAATGTTGGTTTTAAATATGACTAAATGGAAATGCTAATTGAATTCATTTGATTAGATTTGACAGAGTAAATTATTTAAACTGTAAATAAACTTCAACTACATTTGATTGATCACAGGGTGGTGATCAATGTCATGTGCGTCAAGTCCTTCTTAGTGCAGATCGACTGCTATCGACCAAGTTGCAATATGGCCACTAGTCTAGGTGACTTAACATTGTGTGCACCATGTTAAGATAAGATGGTGGTTGGAGGTAGTCAACATGGATCTAATCCGTCAGGGAGCACCGGTTCCCTTAAGATTACAGGTACACCTTGCTGACGAGTTCCAAGTAGCACGAAACCCGGACCCAGGGTTTACTATTAACTACCTCCAACCACCATCTTGTCTAAACTTCAACTACATTCCTATGATATAATCCAAGTGAAACTTTCTGGCTCTACCTATATATCTCTTATTAGGTTTTTATTTTATTAAATGTGGCTACAAAGCTAGAGGAATGCATATATATATATATATATATATATATATATATATATATATATATATATATATATATATATATATATTTACACACAGACAAATACTTTCTTTACACACACCTCTATAGATCGACCTATTCGCATTCTTTATTAACAAACATATATACAGGGTGTTCATAGTTAAATTAACTTAGTACTTATCCCTTTCCTAATACTGTAATCAATAAATATACATATATCCGTTGATGTATGTTTAACTTTTCGATAATCTTTTTTTCCAAATCTATTTATTAATTTAAAGTCAAGTAACATACATCCCAAATGTAAGCTGACAATACAATTTCATCATTTTACATTTAATATTTTATTTCAATAGTTGAGATCATGAGTCAATTGAAGCTAGATTATCATGGAAAACCTGAAAACACTGGACGGCTATTTCGTCTTATTGTGGGACTCCTCGGCAATGAACGTCTACGATCCCGTCCCCCGCGAGATTTGAACCCAGGACTTATCCGTCGAATCTCGTGGGGAGCGATCGTGAATGCGCACTGCTGAGGAGTCCCATACGAGAATGAAACAGCCGTCCACTGCTTCAAGGTTTTCCATGGTGGTCTAGCTTCAATTGACTCATGAATTCAATTAATAAATTACTACAATCTCCACAAAACCCCCATTAAATTATAATCTACTTATTGTGCTGCTATAAAGTCTAGGATTTCAGTTATATAATTTTATGAGTTTTGATATCATGATTAAATAGAGTATAATAGATGATTGATTCGTTCTCTTTGTTTTCTAATTGGACATTAAGCTAGGGGTAACCCGAAATATAGTAAACATTTAGATCTTGGTCGATATTCATTGGTCTCTGTGTCATTTGGTAAATAGCCCACTAGTCCTACAAGCGACAGAAGTGA